ATTTTTAATTATTTGAAAATCTATTATTCTCCCATTCATATCACAAAAAAAGAATGCTGCAAATATTTCAAATTAATACTAATTACGTATGAAATATTTTCATATCATTAATAATTTATATAAAATAGGTATATAAAAAAATAATTTTATTAACAACTAAACTGTTAAATACACTATAGTTAATAAATTAATACGTATTATTAATTGTGTATACATAATCCATTTGTAAAATGATCCCTTACTGAGAATCAAAAACCTCTAAATTCTGTTTGGCATTCTAAATATTTGAGATAATATTCAAATTCGAAGTATTTTGGCAAAATTATCTTCTATTAATTGATTTCGAAGAAGAAGAAGAAAAATTTTTGATTTTCAAAAAGTACCTTTTGTTGCATACAACATTTGTAGTAGCTGTCGATTGTAATTTGTAACGTATTTTCAGACTTATACTTATTACATTAACTAAAAACATTATTTCTAATATTGTTTTTACTTTTCTTTTACACTTTATTTTCATATATTTTACCCCAACATGAAATACTCCAATTTTATGTCAATTTAATCCCAAATCCAAAATGCGCTCATTCAAACAATAAATCATAATTGCAATAAATTGTGCCAAACAAAAAAAAACATTTCAATTAACTGTGGAATAAACTCTAAAAACGGTACTAAATTTAATTACTCACTTGTGTATGAATTAAAAAAAAAATAACATTTCGTATATTGTAAAACAAATGAAAATTTTATATTCAAAATCTTTACAAATGAAATACTTGATATAAACTGATTTATACTGTTGCGAAAAGACTATAAGTTCACAAAAGCCTTAGTTTCCAAACCTCCACAACGCGTTTCATACGCCTGTCAACCGAGCGACTTCAAATGTGTCTCTCATCCACATACCTGCATCAAAGCATCAATGGTCTGCGATGGCATACATGATTGTACCGATCATTCGGATGAATCCAATTGCACCAACCGTGATCAAACACTGGGCTTCAAGCGCTGGAAGAAGAATCATCATACACCAGAACCCCAACAGACGAAGACACAAAAAGATAATAGAAAAAATCGACGCCATCTTAAGTCCAAACGCAACAAGACCAACAAGACCAACAAGAACAGCAAAAACAACAACAAAACAACCAAACACAGTCTTAAAAATCTCGGTTTGTTTTAAAATTATATTTATTTTAAGGTTTTTTTTGTTATAATTAGTAATTGTTTTTTTATAGATTTTTAGGTTTTTAGCACAACACTTTTTATTTGAAACACAATTTATATGTAATTTATTTTTTTAATTATATTTTTTTGTATTATAATTGATTTGATGTGTTCTTTAATTATAGTAGAAATTTATTTAAAGTTTAACATTAGTAGAAGTAAAGAACTTTAACAGCAATCCACACAGGTGCACTAGTTAGCACACTACTATTTTATACACATAAATCCGGTAGTGCCTTATGAGCTCCCAAGATTTAGCTGATCCTGAAGTTTATTCTAATTTTTTCAGTGGAAAAATTGGTGCTGTAAAACAAATGTCCTTTGTGTAATAAAAATGTATTTATATATAGATATTATTTATATAGGAGTAGTATATATGATATATTTTTAATAATTACAAATATAAATGTTATAGATTGTATTAGGTTGTCTACACTAAAAAGTTTTCGTACTATATCTTTATACAATACTCTCATATCTTTATTAAGTTCGGTAGATAATATTTATATGAGTTATTATTTATGTTGATTTACTTAATATATTAAACAAATTAATTATAAATTAACTTAATGTAAAAATGAAAAAAAAAACTAACTTAAACATTTATGAATTTATTAAAAAGATAATAAAAAATAATTAATAATTGATATCAATTTTATTATTCAGAATAGCAAATTATTAAATGAAGAAAAATAATTTTATTACCTTAAATAATAATAAATTATTGAAAAGAAAGAAAATTGCAGCATTTTTTAAATAATACTTATATTAATATAAATAATAAATTACTAATAAATAACAAATTCTTTTAATTTTTATTTTTACAACATAATCATATATAAAGTAGAATTTTTTTTTCTTAAAATTAATATGTAAAAATTCATAGCATAAAATTTTAGTATTTTTTGAATATATTATTATATTATCATATATGAAAAGCAAATTCTTTTGATTTAATAATCATAAATAAATTAAAATTTTTTATTATAAAATTTAAATCAAATCATATATAAACATAAACATTAGAATTTTTTTATTAAAACTAATATGGAAAAATTCATATAAGATTTCAGCATTTTTTAAAAACATAGACGAAAAGCATCTAATTTTGTTAACATCATTGAAAATTTTTTTTTAATATGCATTAAAATTTTTATATTTAAATGCATTATTAAAAATTTAATTCTCTTGAACTTAATATCATAATACTTCATAAAACTTCTACAAACTGTTCTTAAAAATGAAAAAATTATGATATTAAAAGTATTTAAATACATAGAGCACAATATTATACATATATTGTATAATATATACATATATATATGGGATATATATACATATATCCCTTTAGAAATTCAAAGGTCTATAATCAAAATTCTTACCTACATGAACTTTTTGCATAATTAAAACTGAGTGAACTAAAGAAACAATCTGTGGTCTATGTGAAATCTTTTGCAGGCCCACCCTAAAAGCTTAATACCCAAATAATATTAATACAACTTATTAATGCATAATTTATGAATCAGGAAAATGCTTTCATATTCTTAAGATCATAAAAATATATTAATAAATTCATTCTTTTTTCTATTAATATTTTATTAAAAATTCAGTTTTAAAGTTATATTTATTCCCCTACCCCAATAAATTTAAGGATAACATTTATATTTGATGAACAAATATTAAAAAATATAAAAAAAAAACCTTAAGCTTAAAACACTTGAGATTTGAAAATATCACTCAGCAGTTAACTATACATATATATAAAAGACACTAACTTTCCTAGCTTTCATTCATCTTGTTAGTTGATATTCTACATATATTCTGATATTGTTAGTTAATATGTTGGGTGCCAGAGAAGTGACAGTATAGTATATCAAATGATTGCATTACCTCAGCTAATGTCCACATCTAGCTTGTAGAGAGTTGGAAATTTGATAGATATTATTATTGTTAAGTTTGTCAATAGCATTAATCGCTATCTTGTCTATATATTAAAAGATATTACCTAAGGAAAGTATAATAGATAAGTTTTATGTAAAATTGTCCATTTAAAAATTATAATTATAAATTAATGTTGATTTTTTTGTCTAATGTGACGCGTCTAATAACGAAAAAAACTAGAAGAGTTCGAACAGTAATAAAGAAGCAAGAACAAAAATTTGTTTCGTTTATTAAAATATAGTCAGCCAAAATTCAATCAAATCAACTATAAGGGTGAAACACTTATAATTATAAATTATTGAAGATTTTTTAATTAAGGAGTAATTACGTTGAATTATAATAACAGTATAATTAATAATAATACCAATAATAATTATTTATATATTTATAAAATATTATATACAATTAGAAATTTCAATTTTATTTATGTACATATACAGTTTTTATTTATAAATGTAAATTATTAATTTTTCCAGATATATTTTTAAAAAATAATATTTGAAATATATCATGAAATGATCTGGTTCACAAAAAATTTGAAGTATAATTTTGTTTCCAATTAAATTTATTTTAATGTAATTTTAAAGAATTTTAAAAATGTGATAATTTTATAATAAATTGTTTTTTTTTATTGTTTGATCTATAAAAATAATCTTTTTGTTTATAAGTTTTTCTTATATTTTATCTGTAACTTTCTCAGAAATTTTTTATCAATTAGTTTCATCCGTCTATTTTTTCAAAGTTTTTGCCATTAATTATTTTAAATATAACTACTTTTAATATTTAGTTTTTAATATTTAATTCAATTTCTTAAATGTATATAAACAAAAATTATATTTATTATTATTATTACTTTTGTAATAACTCAGGCATTAATTTAAGTTAACATTGTTAAGTTGTAAGTACACTGAAAAAATTTTATTTATACAATTATACATTCAAATTTCCATACACAAATTTTTCCATTTATTTTATTAAATCATAATAAAATCACATTAAATAATATATATTTCATTTCTTTGCTGTCTTGTATTTACTTAGTCTAGTCTATATGTGCTTAACTTTGGCTCTATAACCAATCCATTTTAGAAACGAAAATCCCAACCAAAATTTTGTAAATAAAAACTTTTGATTAACATTTTGTAAATAAATTATAAAACTAAATAATTTTTATTTAAATATTATTTTAACATAAATTAAAAAAAAATTTTTTTGAACTAACATACATTTTTAATATAAAATTAAAAAAAATTTTAATAATGTAAAAAATCATAACTTTAGTATTTTTGGTAAAATGGTAACTCATTGTATAAATCACTTAGTATTAAAACTTGTATACAAATAGTAAATTTGTTAGTTATTCAAAATTTAAATGTTTTAAAATTATACATTTTTACAAAATTTGCTAATATATGTTTATTTTTTTTCCTCCTCCTTTTTCCTGGCTCCCACAAAACAAAACAATAAAAACATATCGTCACCAACAAAATTATATAAATCGATATAACGCCTATGTCATATATGTCGTTGCTATTTTGTGATTGTGTTGATAACTGCTCGTATCGATAAATAATTTTCATCGAAAAATCTTAAACATCGTAAACACAATATCATATTAAACATCAAATCGTATAAAATCGTATAACGAATTTGTTGCTAATCATATTATAATACATATACATGTGCATTTGTGTGTACTGAAATTAATTGTTATCGATAAATATTTAATTATCGATTAAAACATTGATTGTATGCTGCATAATTTTATTGCAATCATACATTTACATATCTTTACATTTTATGTAATGTTGAAATATAAATATTGAAAATAGCTGGTTTGCAACCAGTAAGACCTCCCTATATACCACCAATTCCAATAGCAACAACAACAACGACACGAGCTCCACCAGTACGTGATTATAGTCTGAAATTGGATCAGCAACATTCAAATTTACGTGTAGGTGAATCAACTGAAGTAGAGTGTTATTCTGCTGATAATGCATATACCGATGTTATATGGGAACGCGCGGATGAAAAGCCAATGCCTCCACATATACAGGTATACCAATAAAATCGAACTGATACTAAAACAAAGAGACTAAGCAATTAAATTTAAAAAATAGCAAATAGGCAATCGATTGATTTTCTCTCATGTTACACCAGCTGATGAAGGTTCCTATGTTTGTAAATGTCGCGTAGATGATGGTGATCTCTATACTACCAGCTTTAGCCTTGAAATTGAAGATGAAGAAAGTGAGCATGATTGGAAGAAGCCTAAAATTCAACATGCAAATATTGGTTCTATGGTAACATTAAAATGTGAAGCAGACCAAAGCAATGGTAGACCAAATTATAGATGGTCTCGTCAATATGGAAAAATGCAAAGTGATAGAAGTATATTCAGTGTAAGTTAAAACTTGACATTAAGAATATATAATGGAATGTTTAATACACCTTATTTTTTTTTGTCTTTCCTTTTGTTATCGATATATTGCCCTTTCCTAGAACTACTTTTACTTTGTTTATTGTTATTCTATTGAGTAAATATAAAACAACTGTTAATTTCAGGGTAATCTTATTCCCCTGGCAAGATATCTAAAGTGTTATAACTCAATCTTAAGTGTTATACATTTCACTCCAGATTTACCAATCGTACATGAATATTGCATTAAAAGTGAATCTCGATTGAAAATTACTCCAGATTCAGCAATCGAAAATGGTATTAACAAAACAAATAAAGTGTATATTGGATTGGTATGTTCAACATTTCAAATTGGGCAGTATCCAATTATGAACACAGTCTAAGATTTAATATAGACAATTGAATCCAATATTTACTTCAAAAAACTTGTTTTTATAAAGCGATATACGATACAGCTCTATGATCAGCCCAAACTGATAGTTTACATTTTTGGAATTAACAACTTTTCTTCTATTGCTCCCTTTTTTATCCGAAATAAAGTTTTTATAATTAGACATTAAAATTTGAATTTAGTTTCAAATCTTTAATAGTGTTGAGTATAAATAATTAATATTTTTTATTATTATTATACCCTTTTTACAGGAGGAACTACAACTAGACGATGTGCAATCAAATGACGCAGGTACCTACGTTTGCACAGCTACATCACCGAATGGCGAAGTTGCTGACTATCCAACAATACTTGTCGTTACGGGAACTATACCACAATTTCACCAAGATCCCATAAGTTATATGGCTTTCCCAACACTACCTGACTCATACATAAAATTCAATTTTGATATTTCATTCCGACCACAAGAGCCTAATGGTCTGATATTATTCAATGGACAAAAACGCGGTAGCGGTGACTATATTGCTCTTTCTCTTAAGGATCGTTATCCTGAATTCCATTTCGATTTTGATGGTAAGCCTATTGTGATACTTGCCGAACAACCCATCTCATTAAATGAATGGCATACGATTCGTATCAACCGTTTCCGTCGCGATGGTTACATGCAAGTTGATGATCAGCGTCCAGTAGCTTTCCCTACACTAGCACAAGTCTCACCACTTGATCTAATTGAAGATTTATATATCGGTGGTGTACCTAACTTCGATTTGTTACCACAAGATGCTGTTGATAATAAAGTTGGTTTTGTTGGTTGCATTAGTCGCTTATCGTTGCAAGGTAAAGTTGTGGATTTAATGAAAGAGGCTAAATTTAAGGAAGGCATCACTGCTTGTCAACCTTGTTCGGACCGACCATGTGAAAATGGTGGAATATGTTTAGAAAGTCAGACAGAAATGGCACATACTTGTATTTGCCAACAAGGTTGGACAGGTACAAATTGTGCAGTTGAAGGTACACAATGTACACCTGGTGTTTGTGGCGCCGGACGCTGCGAAAATACTGAAATGGGCATGGAATGTTTGTGCCCACTTAACAAGACCGGAGACCGTTGTCAATACATCGAACATTTGAACGAAAATAGTTTAGCTTTTAAGACAAACAGTTATGCTGCCTATGGGTAAGTAAGAATAATAATTGATTAAATAAATTGACTAATTATTTAAAAGAATATATAAATAGAGATAAATAGAAAGAAACACAAAATAATATTTTTGATATTTACTCTTATTGGAATGAGTTATTTAAAAAAAGTGTCTAGTGAGATATATATATTTTTAATATGTATATACATATATCTAGTAAGATATATAGCAAGTATATATATCTAGTAAGACATATATCTCGTATAAATATCTAGTAAAATATATATCTAGTATATATATCTAGTAAGATATACATATTTTTAATATTTATTTATTAGTTTATATATCTAAAATAAGAATTTGAGTGACACCATTTCATTTATTTTTATTTTTAGCACCCCACGTGCCTCAAAATTAAACGTGAGATTTAAAGTTCGGCCAAACTCTTTAGATGACGCCGTACTTTTCTATGCTGCCGAATCAAAACTGCCAGCTGGTGATTTCATTGCCGTAGTACTACGCAACGAACATATTGAACTTATTATAAATACCGGAGCACGACCGAAACCAGTTGTGGTACGATCACTTAATCCACTGCCAGTGAATAAATGGACTGAAATAGAGATATCACGTCGATATGGTGAAAGTATTCTACGTGTTGGTGAAGATCCAGAACAAAAAGCGAAATCAAGCGGTCTAGCACGTACACTGTTTATAAAGACTCCAATGTACATTGGCGGTTATGATCATGAGAATGTAAAACTAAACCGTGATGTGAATATTACAAATGGATTGAATGGTTGTATTTCAAATGTGAGTAAATAAAATCATAACGTTTAATACATTTATATATTACTGAATTAAATAACGTTAATTTCAAAATTTCTCTATCTATTTAAGCTTTATGAAGCTCAGCGACAAATTAATCTCATAGCCGATATTCAAGACGCAGTCAATATACAAAACTGTGGAGAAATTAATGAAATCGATAATAATGAAATATCACATAATATCGAAGACCCAAGTCAACCAGAAACAGAAGATTTAGTACCTCAAGATGCTTGCTCAAGTGATCCCTGTGAAAATGGTGGTACTTGCTCAATACGCAATAATAATGCTGAATGTTCCTGTATTTTAGGTTTTAGTGGCAAACATTGTGAAGAACGTAAGTCAGAATGTATAGATCTATTTACTTTGTTATATATAAAACTATTTCTTAATATAGATATAATGATTGAATTTGATGCCAACTTCCATGGTAATGGATATCTCGAACTAAATCGCTCCGAATTCAGTAAAGCAATCGAACAGAAGTATTCATTCGCTGGTATGGTCTTTTCAACTACAAGCCCTAATGGTTTGCTACTTTGGTGGGGACAAGAACTTGGACAGGAATATACTGGTCAAGATTTCATGGCTTTGGCTGTTGTTGATGGTATTGTTGAATTTTCAATTCGAATGAATGGTGAAGAGACTGTTATACGTAATCCCGAAAAACGAGTCGATGATGGACGTCGACATATTGCTTTAATCAAACGCACAGATAATACCGCCATATTAGAATTAGATCATTTACTCGACGCAGGTGAAACAAGACCAACAGGCAAAGAGACAATGACTCTGCCAGGAAACGTTTTCATTGGTGAGTATACCATCAAATCAAACTTTATTTCAAATTTTATATTGCGGTAGTTAGCTAGTTGTGGTGGAGGGAGGACGAGTCCTCCTCAATTAGCTAAAGAGCCCATTTGAATCCACAAAAAAGGGAACAAATTATTTGATCTAAATAAATACTTTCAAGTTAAATAAAAATAAATAATAAGTCTTGAGTATATTCGTATATATGGCCCTTTTGTTCCTCATTGGAGCTACGGGAACTAATATATATACTCGTGTATGATTTAGAAGAGTATTTAGTTATGTCTTTATTATTATAATAGTTAAAATGAAATTATGTTTATTTAAATTATTGATATCATCTTTTTTATATAAAATATACAAATTCATTTATTGTTTTATTAACTATTAAAGGTGGTACGCCTGATGTTGCCATGTTCACTGGCGGTCGCTATCACAATAACTTTAATGGTTGTGTACGTGTTGTGGAAGGAGAGTCCAGTGGTATAATACAACTTAATCAAGCAGCTATAAGTGGTGTCAATGTTGATGCATGTCCAGTGTAAGTATTTCATTTTGATTTTATTATTATATTAATTAATTAATTCAAAAATATTAAGTATATTAAACATTTTTTATTATATTAACATGCTGCCAATACTATAGTAGTTGGAATCCATCTAGTTTAGTTTATCACGAAAGTGACGATAGTGATTTTAGTTTCGATCCATTGCTTTTCGATGAGCTGGATCAACCTCCACCTGTGCATATTATATATCCGCGTCCAACATATTTCACGTTTTATCAAAATACTGTAAATTCCGCAGCGAGAAGAAATAAAGTGAACTTTATTTTTTTATCAAAAATATACTGTTGGAAGTTAAGAAAAACTAATAAAAGAAACTTTATAGTTTTAAGTAAAAATTTGCTCATTCTACTGCTCAATATAACAACCTGGACTTGTCTGAATTTCATCAGATTTAACTTGAATCTTTATTTCGGAATGTATACAAAATTAAAAATAAATAAAATAATTAACACGTGAACACAGGCAAAAAAAAACATTCCACTATACACATTGAATGTATATATAAGTATATGTATAAGTCACTTTTTATATAGCTAAATAATATTCCTAATATTTATTTAACCTAAACTATATCTTTTTTTAACGATTTAAACTTAAGCACATGTGAAAGATACATATGCTTTATGATTTAGAACTCAATATATATATAATCGCTCCTATCCTTTTTATTATTGTATATTGTAATTAAGCAAAAATAATAACAAATACTTATATATAAGAAATATATATAATTAAGAATATGCATAGTAAAATAGATAGTTAATTGTTATAAGATACAGAAAGTTTTATGAATAATGTTATAGTAAAAATAATGATAAACTATTGACTGAATTTTTTAAAATTAAAATAACCAGATAAATGTTTTAATATCTAATATATATAAGAATATATTTAGAATATTTGAATACTCTAATTTTAAAACATTAATTTATATTTTATGTTTTCTCATTTATGTAATATTAATCTACTTAATATAATTTATTAGTTATAATTAAGCTATTTCTGTACCAACTTCACTGATTGTTTCAAAAGTCCGGATTTTGTATTTATATTCGTAAATGTATAATATAGATAATAATATTTCTTCAGATATTTTAACATTTTTAAATTAATTAAATTTTTTGTATAAGTGATGAATTACACAAAAAATTTAGCCTGTAAAGTCACCTTTCAAACACAAGCCTGTTTCACATAATAGGATTAGTGTTCTAAGAGATATATGACATATGAGGTACCAACAGCATCTGATGATAAAAATCACCAACTTATATACATAATATGTATCTTCAAATTCAACAGGGCATGGGGATAGAGTATAGATACGCAATATAGAAATTAGAAAATAAGGCGATATAGAATGCCGAAAGTATATTTCGATAAGTTGAAAAAATTATATATAACTACTTACCTTTGGTGACAGAATATTATAATTATATATCTATTATTTTTAAAATGTACTATATGTTCAAATAACTGTTTTTCAATAAATTGAATTCGATATTTTGGCTGCACCCTAAAACAGGATTTAAACAGATTAATATGGACCCAATATAAATGAAATTTTCAAAAAAAACAGTCTCATAGGCAAACATTTACTTAGAAGTAAATCTCAAATTTAACTAATTTACTATTTGTTTAAATAATTATTTTATACCAAATCAGAATAAATCATATAAAGTTTCCAAATATCATTTATACACATTCTAGAATATATGTTTAAATATATTGCATTTTCATATGTCAATTTACAAAACAACGTCGAGCATTTATATAAAATATAAATATAATAATTATTTTAATATATAATATTAATGATAAGGTATAAATAAATATATTAAATATTCTATTGAATAAAGTCTATAACACTATTCACATAAGCTAAACGGTCAAATTCACAACTACATAATATCAAAATTAATCCAAATAAAATATAATAACTATATATCCAATATCTAAATAGAATATAATAAATAAATAACATTATATTGTTATTGTTATTTAAAGATATGAAAAATATAAAATATATGGTATAATGTAAAATAAAAATATATATATCCATTTATATATTGTATAAATGCATATGTTTCTGTGTACAGCAATATATATAATATAAGAAATTATTTAATTATTATTATGTTATTAAATATTATTGTTATTGCGCTGTGAAAAAAATCAATAAATTGAAATTGTTTTTATTATTACTATATTAAAAAATTTATGAAATATTATATATATTAAATATAAATTGCATTATATATGAATATTAGAAAATTTATTTGACTTGTTTGTTAATTTCTCACAAATATGTAATAAAACATAATTTTGGGTTAGAATTGATATAAATATTGCTATATACAATATATTGTTTATGTAAATTTTGTAAATAATTAAAATGCAATTTATTCACATCATCATAATATAACATAAATCATAAATGTTATTAAATTAATATTTATGTTTATATATATTTATATTTATAAGTTTATATTTATAAGTTTATATTTATAAGTTTATAAGTTTATATTTATATTTATTTTTTATTTACATTTATATTTTACTATAATATAATATAAATTTAATATGCAAATATTATATTAATTATAAATAGTTATAGGACAATGTTATTAAATTAATATTTATGTTTATATATATTTATATTTATAAGTTTATATTTATAAGTTTATATTTATAAGTTTATAAGTTTATATTTATATTTATTTTTTATTTACATTTATATTTTACTATAATATAATATAAATTTAATATGCAAATATTATATTAATTATAAATAGTTATAGGACAACTTTTTTAATTTATTTTTTAGTACATTGTTTATATTATTAACTTAAATATATTAAATAAATATATTAGTTATATAATTGATTTGATTTTATTTACAGTTTTATTTTATTTTATTTTATTTACTGACTACTTTTTATTTTACTTATTTCTATTATAGAGTATTATTTATTATTGTTTAATAATAAATATTTAATAATTTTTTAAGTTTATAATTTACCATATATATAAATCACTATAATTTACTATATGTATTTATTTATTGACTTTTTTTTATATATATGTATTTTAATAATATTTTATTTTTAATTGTTTTGTTAAATTTATTATTTTATTTCTATCTACGAGTAGTTTTCAATTTATTTGTTTTTATTTTTCTATATTATAATTATAGCTACACTTATAAAATATAGGTTTTATACATTGTATATTAAATAAAAATGCACATATAAGTTATGGCATATATCGATTATACAAATATCCTGTTAATTGTATGATAATGTCACTATTTGCTATTTATAAAATTATTTTAATTAATAAAATTTTTAATTTTTTTTTTTCATAATAATTTTTGGTACGTTAATTTTATTTTCATTCATTTTTATTATTTTTCTATTTTTAGAGCGGATGATTCTCTGGAAGGAACAGAACCACCAGTCGTTTAATAGCTTTAAATATTGAATTAATTTTTTTTTACATAATTTTTTTTTTTGTTAATAAGTTATGCAATTAAAAATTGTTTTTAAAACACACATATCTTATTACGAACAAAAAATAAATAAAATTATGTATACATGAAAGCCATATACTAAGTTTAATTTTAAACTTTTGTACGTAAGTTAACTAACAATTAATTTTTTAAATATTTTTAATAATTTTTGTGTTTTAACGAATAAATTTTATTTATTTTCCTCCGGAACAAAGCGAAACCATAAATTTTATACTCTTACTATGTCTAAGAACATGATATTTAAATAACGGAAGGGCAAATATGCAAACAGAATATAACGAATATCTAATATGCAAATTATATTTAAATAAATCAAAATTTTAAAAATACTAAATAGCAAATAAATAATCGTAAAGTAAAGAAATTGTACATTTAAACTAAAAACGTATCAGTAAAATTTGTTATAAAATAAAGATATTAAAATGTGAAAGTTACAAAAGCATATATAAAATACATATTAATAAATATGTAATATTTATACGAATATAAAAATTTGCCTATAAATAAACCCAGTGAAAATTGCTTGCTAAAATAGAGAAAAAAAAATGAAAAAAAAATATTTTTTATATACATATTTTTTATTTTTTATTATTTTTGCATGAAAAATATTTGAATCTATTATTCCTGTGTTGCATACTTAACATAAGCACAAATTGTTATAATTATTAATAATAAAGTTTTTTGTATATGTTCGAAATTAAACAAAAACTAAAACACAACAAAGAAATTAATTAATTAATGTAAATGTAAAAAGTTAAGTGAGATTAAACAAAAAAAAACAAAAACTACAAAGCCAAAATAAAAATAATACAAAAAATTTAAAAAATATGTTTCCATTTCTTTTAAACCTAATATTCTCTATGAAGGAATATTTTTTCAGTATCCTGGTACTGATTTCGGCACTGTCGTATGCATATATCATATCAAAGAATTATTTGATAGCCGCCAAAGTGTCAAGTAAGGTAAGTATCAAAGTTGAAAGTGAGCCTATATATCGTAAATGCATTGGTTTGTAACAATTCATAACAACATTATATAACATTATATTATATATACATTATATATTATTAATATTATATAATATATACATTATATAATATTATATATTATATATATTATATAATAATGTCGTGTAATGTTCAAAGTTAAATTTTATTTATAATTAAATTTAAAAGAATAAAATGTAAAGGAATCATATATTTAAATGAGAATACCATTAAATAGATTATAATATATAAGCTATTATTATCGGCTACTATTATTATTAAGCTATTATTATCGGAAATATTTGATATTAAAAGAAGATATAAATAGTTAACATAATTTAATAATAATTAATATAATTTAATAAAAATATCTGTTTAATAATAATAAATATTATTTAACAATAGTTACTCTTCTGTCAGCTGTATTCAAGGATTTCGTTTGCTCAAAGGGCACTATAGTTTTTAATTGTAACAGTCTAATGAAGTACTTACTTAATTACTTATTGATTACTTTTTACAGACCAATAAACCACTTATTACGATCTAATAAGCTGTTATTATGGTCAACAACTAATTACGGTCTAATAAACTACTCATTTCTGTCTGATAAATTACTTTTATTTCTAATATAGTACTTATTACAAACTAATAAACTATTTACTACGGTCAACTACTTATGGTCTGTTAAAATGCTTATTACGGTGAAAATAAACTACTTACTACGGTCAACTATTTATTACGGTCTGATAAAATTGTTATTACGATCTAATGAACTATTTACCGCGGTTAACTAGTTATTACGGTCTAGTAAAGCATTTATCGCGGCCTAATAAAATGCTTTACGGTCTAACAAAGTACTTTTTACGGTCTAATTAAGTACTTTTAACGGTCTAATAAACCATATACCATGGTCAACTACTTATTATGGTCTAATAAAATACTTATTACGGTCTAATAAAGCATTTATCGCGGCCTAATAAATTACTTTACGGTCTAAGTAAGTACTTTTTACGGTCTAATTAAGTACTTTTAACGGTCTAATAAACCATTTACCATGGTCAACTACTTATTATGGTCTAATAAAATACTTAGTACGGTCTAACAAACTATTTTTACGGTCTAAAAAACGTATTGCTTTTAAAAAACTTATTCAATAACATTAATAAATGTCATCACTTATGAAAATTAAAACAACTCAGTTATATATACAAATAAATTTAATTTATTTTATACTTTTTATGTGAGTTCTTATAAAGATTTGTCTTAAACATTACAAACTAATAATCAAAAAATAAATGCAACGATTTCTTTGTATCCTTTCTTTACAAGAGGCGTAGAAAAATATTATTTCTAGCTTAGCTAATATGGAAGACCTGCACAAGTGTACAAATTAATATTTGCTAATCCGACTAACAGAATTAACTATAAGCAGAAGCCTCTCATCATAAAGTGAATAAAGGCTATCTACTTCATTGTGGGCATGGCAACGGCAGCCTGTGTATGTGTTACATCAGTTTCACGCCACAACTGCGTCACAGTCTTTGTCTGTGTGTAGAATTTGATACCTTGTTTACCATAGAAATGATGATCGCCACGGAATGAACCACGTGTGCCAGTGAATGAGAACATAGGTAGAGGTACAGGAATTGGTACATTAACACCAACTTGGCCAACATCAATTTCGTTAACGAATTTACGTGCAGTGGCACCGTTTGTTGTGAAGATAGCAGTACCATTGCCATAGGGATTAGCATTGACCATTTGTATGGCATCATCAAGTGTATCAGCCTTAAGTATCACTAATACAGGTCCAAAGATTTCTTCTGTATAACATTTCATTTTGGGGGTAACGTCGGTCAAAATTGTTGGGCCTACAAAATAACCAGATTCATAACCGGGTACTGTAATGTTACGACCATCAAGTATAAGCTTAGCGCCTTCCTTTACACCTGATTCGACTAAATCATTAATACGTTTTTTTGATTCAGCACTAATGACGGGACCCAAATCAGTGCCAGGTACATGACCAGCATTGACTTTCAATTTTTTGGCACGTTCAACCAAATCGGGTATCCAACTTTGTGCATCACCAACAAACACAGCAGTAGATAAGGCCATACAACGTTGACCAGCAGCACCGAAAGCAGCGCCAGCTAATTGATTCAAAGTATTTTCCTTATTAGCATCTGAGACAATAATTCCGTGATTCTTGGCACCCATATTGCTTTGTACACGCTTTCCATTTTTGCCAGCGCGTTCATAAATGTACTTGCCAGCAACATCTGAACCGACGAAAGAAACTGCTTTAATTTCAGGTGCATCACATACGAAATTAACAGCATCATGTTGACCGTGTATGACATTGACAACACCAGGTGGGCAACCAGCTTCGTTAAGCAATTCCATCAACATCATTGTTACGCCAGGAACACGTTCAGATGGTTTAAGCAACATTGTATTGCCACAAGTAATAGCCACTGGGAACATCCAAAGTGGTATCATGGCAGGGAAATTGAATGGCGCAATACCAGCAGTAACACCAAGTGGGACAACCAAGGAGTAGGTGTCCATATCACGTGCAACATTAGCGACAGTCTCACCCATTTGCAATGATGGAATACTACAGCAGTGTTCAACAACCTCTGAAGAAGAAAAAGAATTGAAATTAGTTATAAATAATGGACTCATAAAATGAATAGAATTTAAAAATATACTTACGTAAACCACGCAACACATCACCCTCAGCATCAGCTAGTGTTTTGCCTTGCTCCTTAGTGAGATTCTTCGCCAGTTCACCCATATTTTGTTTGATTAGTGATTGTAATTTGAACATGACTTGTTGCCTGGACAAAACCGATTGTTGACTCCATGACTTGAAAGCTTTCTTGTTAGATTCTAACGCTGTGCGCATTTCTTCCTGTGTGCACTTGGGTACGCGGGTAACTACTTCGTTAGTGGCAGGATCGCGTACATCAATCCAGTCTTTCGTCTTCGAATCTACAAATTTGCCATCAATGAACATTTTAGTTGTTGGTGCGGCGGATGAACTAAAACGCTTAGTTATCATACGAGCCTGTAATATAATAGATTTTTTTAAACAAATGTTATCATATGGTATAATTTAGAATTAGACTTATTTTATGTAAATCGATAGACTAAAATTATTAGTGATATATTATAGGTCAGGTATAGTTGGAGTTGGAGTTGCGGCCCTGCGCTATAAAACGTTCTTGAGCACAGATATTAGCCAATGGCGATACCATGGATATATATATACATTTTGTAAGTTAAAATACTTATCTCTAAAATTGTGTAAAAATAATTTAATTATACAATCGTAAAAAATAGCAGTAAGTATTATATATATATATACCTTTATTTAATAGACTAAATTAATAATTAATAGACAGATTAATAATTAATTTAAACACGAGATGTATAATCAATGTAAAAACCTGGATATAAAAAATTTAATTCAATAAACTCACAAATTTTTAGCTAGATAGATAGGTAAACGGATCGTTTCATCTTTTCGAGCTGACCCACTTCAGCAAACGCTATATAAACTTTCCACAGCAAATGTAATTTTTCTTTGATATCAGGAAGTTAAATCAAAGAACAATCTTCGACTTCAACTATTATAAATTTGCTATAAAACTTACCTTTCACCATGTTTCGTTTTTACAAATTTTTTTCCATCTAAATTTCCATGGTCATGTTTAAAGACCGCCATCTACGTTTTTACTGTCCCCATAAACATTAGCTAAGTCGGAATAAATTTTCAGGGATACTTTTTATAATACAATATCAATCATAAGACTTGTTGTGTGTCTCTACGTTTTCACGTAGTCGGTATTACAGTTGACAGATTAAAAACTATACTAAAAACTTTTAAAGCATAAACAGCTAAACGCACTTGTTTGTCGATATTAATGAATAGCTCCAAGTAAAGTCCCTCATAAGGCTTAATTTTATCTGCTGTAACTACTATAAGACTACGTTTATTAAAAATTAGTAAAAAAAAGTACTCTTAACTGTTTTTATTTCAACAATAAATTACCATAAACAGTAATAAATAAAAGTGGATTCAAGTTGTATTATTAAAACTAATTAGAATTTGGATTTGCATTAGAAATGAACATGTTTAAAAAATAGAATGGCGATGATTTAGATGTGGAACAGCAGGATTATTTTTGAATCTATTAAATAAGATCACTTATGTTGGCAGGCATTTCTTCAATAGTGGTATGGTAGAATTGTTCAATATCCTTAAGGATACGACGGTCTTCATCTGTTATAAAGTTAATTGCAACGCCTTTTCGCCCAAAGCGACCACCACGACCAATACGATGAATATAGTTCTCACGATTTGTTGGTAAATCATAATTAATAACGAGCGAAACTTGTTGCACATCAATACCACGCGCCAGTAAATCAGTTGTTATAAGCACTCGAGAGGAACCGGATCTGAATTGTTTCATTATTACGTCACGATCCTGCTGTTCCATGTCACCGTGCATAGCTGAAACAGTAAAATTTTGGCTGGTCATTTCTTCTGTGACTTGCATCACTTTTCGACGTGTATTGCAGAAGATAACAGACTGAGTTATGGAAAGCGTATCATACAAATCGCAGAGAGTGCCAAGCTTCCAGTTTTCTTGTTTTACATTAACGTAAAACTGTTTAATACCTTCTAACGTTAGTTCATCTTTCTTAACCAAAATACTCACAGGATCGCGCATAAAGCAGCGACTGACTTCTAAAACATCGGGTGGCATAGTTGCGGACAGAAGAATCACTTGAACGTCAGAGCGAAGAGTTTTAAAGACATCTTGTATCTGATCCTTAAAGCCTCGGGAAAGCATCTCATCTGCCTCATCAAGAACGAACAGTTTTATATTCTCTGTTCGTAGCATTTTTCGATTGATCATATCAAAGACACGTCCCGGAGTTCCTACAACTATTTGACAACCAGCATCCAAAGTACGTGCATCTTCACGAACATTTGTACCACCAATACACGCATGTGTATTAACCTTCATATACTCTCCCAAAGCCATAACAACGCGTTGAATTTGTGATGCCAATTCGCGTGTAGGAGCAAGTATTAAAGATTGACAATCACGCTGTTTGGTGTCTATTTGTTGTAATATAGCAATAGAAAATGTGGCTGTCTTACCAGTGCCTGACTGAGCTTGTGCAATAACGTCACGACCCTTAATGCATGGTACAATGGCTCGTTGTTGTATAGCGGATGGCTTCTCAAAACCATAACCATAAATACCACGTAAAAGTTCTTCACGTAAACTCATGTCATCAAAGTTATGGTAAACCTCATTCCATGTTGATTCTATAACACCATCTGGATCCACACTGATTGAACAGCTCGCCATATCAAATAATGATACAGTTTTGATCAGGAGCAGAGAAAATATAATTTTCTGACAAACGAAAATTTTTTAATACAAATTTTTATGAAAAACTTTGGGGTATGCTTTTTATTTGAAAATCACAGCCAACTATGATGAAATAAATTAATTGTTTAAAAAACAGTAGGTTGAATGAAGTAGCCAACTATGATAAAATTATTTTTTTTTTTTTAAAAAACATTGAAAATAAAACATTTGATTGATGCTTCAATACACGATTTAAATCCATTAGCTTTGCATTAAAAATAAATGGATTGAATTTTTAATACAAATGCGAATTATCTTTTTGTTTGTGTTGCGCGTATTTTTTGTATTGGTTGCACTGCTAGTAATGTACACTTTAAGCATCCATGCAGCTATGACGAGTGGAAGAAATAGAAATGTTATATGGCTCATATGAAACGATTTCTACGAAAATTTTGAAGAATAAACGAATGGCAGTAAAATTTCTTCGGAAAATTTGTTGCATATCTAATATTTCGTGGTAAAACGTATCACTGGAACATATTCTCCAATGTGATATCTTAAGGCTTTTTTCGACTTTCCAAAATAAAAAAAAAAACATTTTTCAACAACAGAGGAGATAAAGGTGAAATCACAGGGCAAGCTCAAGACCATTTCTAAACAGGCATTCCAACAATGTTTCTGGAACTGAAAACCTTGGTGTCTTAAATGAATAATAACAAATGGGGACTACTTTGCAGAAAATGGAATAAGTACTAAAAATCTTTTGTTTACGCTTTATATAACTTTAAAATTTTTACAAAAAAATTTACACTTTTAAAGATCTAAGTAAATAAAATAAATAAGATAGAGATAATATTAATAAGATAAAGATATTATAAATAAGATAAATAAATAAATAATCTAAATAATGAGATATATGTCTAAAATTTATGGGACTTTTAAGAGATATATATTGTTCTATGTTGTTTAAATGTTAATTTTTTTTTCCGAAATGTCAAATTTTTCCTTAAACGCAAGAACTAAACTAATTTCTGGCTTATATATGTATACATATATATATTTATATATATATACATATATATATATTGTCTTAGATTAGAAAATTATTGATAGCGTAACTGTCACAGGTGCTTTTAAAAAAATATCCGAGTAATGTAGCGTATATTTGTGGTTCCTCTATTATATCTCTTTTTAATGTTTTAAAGATAAGATAAATCTTAATGACAACAACTTATATTTTTATTATTTACAATTTTATTTAGCCGATGGTTACTCATTTGTCTAGATAGATTTTCGAGAGAACTATATGTTTTTATAGAATTCTAACTTGATTTGAATAAACTATTAAAAAATATCTAAATCCAAATATATATAAAAATATATCTTATAATTATGAGATGTGTATTATTTATAATAAAAAGAATTAATACAAAACCAATGTTTTGATTTTTATGAATTTCAAATAATGTGTAAATATTTATTTTATTTATATGTTACATATTTATAAAATGCCGAAATGTTTTTAGAAATCTAAACCAGAGCCACTTGAAGATAATATTTTTATTATATATTCAAGTACATATATGTACACATATATATATTTTTATATATATACTGATATGCATGTTTGCAGAAATATGTTTTCAAAAATCTAAGACAGATCCACTTTAAGATAATATTTTTATTATTATTGCTTGCTTTTATCTTATCTCAATGTTGTGGGCTCGTGCCAATAATTTAACACAGAGGCACCTGTACAGAGACTGTTTTTGCGTATACTTACCTCCACCTGATAAAATATTTTTGAACACACTTTTATTAATTGGTTTCTAACAGAAGGGTTTCTGAATAGTAGTGTATTAGAACAACATTTTATTTTTAATTAATTGAATCCTTTAGCTGACATAAAACTGTTTCGATTCTCTTATATTCAAAAACTCTGATATTATTGAAATGACTTTCTTTCACCATAATTGTCTTAAAAAAAAAAATTAATAATCAGAAATAAATTTTTTATACTATTTTTATTTAAAAAAAAAAATGAAAACAAAATCATTCTACTGAAAATATAGAGTATTCATATCTAACCTTTTCCACAAGGGTTCCCCATTTATAAAATATTCGTACGTTTGTGGTTTAAAAATTATCTAAGATTTCTTATATATTTTTTGTTTTTATGTTCTGGGGTTGGTCTTATAAAATTTCCATTTGATTATCGGTGCCAGCTGACAGTTGGCAACTAACAGAAATTATTTTTTAGAACCTTTTTTCAGTTTTATCTTTTTCTATCACAGTGTTTATATTATTGATATACGTCTTGAAGTTAACTTAAGTTAAAATTCTTGAAAAATTAAGTAACTGCAATTTAAATTTAAAAAAAATCACTAATACTAATAAAACAAAATAAAACAAAATAATTGCAAACAAAATATTTTCATTTGAAAAAATATAATAGGGATAATAATTTAATATCTCTCTCGGTTTGTATCTCTCAAAAGTACACATTAAATAACTTTATTAAGTTGTGTTTCTTCGAAATAATCAAAACCCAAGAAATATAGAAATGTGTTAAGAGAACCATCTAATTTCAGCATTCTTTTTCGAAATACTCAGAATACAGTTCATTATTTAAATTAATCATTAATTAATTAAGTCCAAAAAAAACGAAAATTATGACATGGGAAATGAATCTATGTTCAACACATACTAAAATAAAAAAAAAACGCGAAAAATATGAGAAATTTCTCGAGAAGCGGATAGTCCAAACCATTTATATATTTATATATTTATTTAAGATTATTTATATATTTAAGATTATTTATATATTTAAGATTATTTATATAATGTTATGCACTTCTTTTTCCCTAATTAACGACTATTTTAATAAAATTATTTTAGTTAGTTTGCTTATCTCTAATAAAAATAGACCTGATCAAACTAGGACAACGCCCATTTTCCATACAGACATATAATTTCTATACAAGTTTTTGAAACAGATAAATAAAATTTAGTTTATGAACTTCTTAGAAAACGATCTTAAACATATAGTGATATGATTGAAATCAGTTCATTATTTTCTATAACTGTTATATATACTGACCAACCGAAGTAATGTTTTTCTTTAATATTGTATTCACATATAAATTTTTATTTATAATTGCACACTTATTATTATAATATTAATAATAGTTATTATTATAATACAATCCATACGTTATTATAAACTTTAATCTAAATTTTTCCCTTTTTTGAATTAGTGATAAAAAAACAGCGGATATTATTACCATAAAAATTTATAAGCCAGAAGTAGATAAGGATTTAGCCGATATTAATTTAATGATATTTTCTTTTTTATAGTAAGTAATATAAAAGTAGCATATATTATTACCACAAGAAGATAACCCAAGACCCAAAAGCAAAATGGATGTAGCCGATGACAATATGATGACCTTTTTTCTTTTTTTTTATTTAGTTATATAAACATAACGAATATTGTGTTATAATTTGATTTTGTTTTTTTTTTCTATTAAATTATATAAAATTGCTGGATGTTACTATAAAAACATCTCTTAGGCGCTTCGAAACTAAAAGCCAGAAAAACAAAATGGATTTAACTGATGTCATAACTTATTTTTTTAAAAGTGATATGAAAATATCGAATGTTATATGATAAATTATTTTGCAGCGCAATTTTTTTGGCTTGCAAATATAAATATATTTTGGATATTAATAACTTCATATATATTTCAAGGACTCATTTCTGTCATTACAAATCAAATACATGGACACCAAAATGATGATATATTCTGTGTAAAATGATATATTCTGTGCAATCATTATTTATTCGAAAATATTTTTAAAGGTTTAGAATTATAAATTCATCTCCGAATATAAAAAGGTTAGTTAAAAAAAATTATATATATATGTCCTTATAAGGACCTTAAGGACCTTTATAATATGTGTATGACTTATATATTTGCATCAGGTGATTATATATAATTATTTATCTTTACTCTAAAAACTAATAACTATTACATGTAATACTTGATGTGAATACCCTAATAAATTTTGAATTGTAGAAAAATTTTAAATTTTAAGCTGCAGAAATAAATTTTCTTTAGTTATATAATATCAAATATTAATAGACACGTAATATATATAATAATTGAATTTTTTAAAATATTTCACTTATAAATATTTTATTTAAAAAATAAAAATAGTTTTTGTGCAAAATTTAAAAAAAAGATTTTAGATATTTAAAAAAAAAACTTTTACAAACATTTTACAACTGGCGTTACAACACGCGAATCAAAACTCATACACGTCACACACAAACAAGTCTGGTTGTGTGCTGTGTGCACACACATTTCTAATTCAATTTATTTGCATTTTAAAAACTTATTTTGTCTACGATTTGCTTTGCTGGAGGCAAATCTACTTCCAATTTAGAATATTTCACTAAAATTAAATTACGTAACAATTTCATTTTCAATCATAAATTGCCACATGAATGAAAGCATTTAAACATAAAAAAATAAAAATAAAAAAAATTGAAATTTTATCTCAATTAATTTTAACTATTAGAACTTATAAAAATATATTTATTTCTTTATTACATATTACACACTAGCAAGCAGTACACATATTTCAGTTGTAATTTAATAATAATAAAAAAAAAATTGTATTAATTTGTTGTTGCTCACCTCAGCTCCAATTAAACGCACTAAAGACATTTTGTATGCACTGTTGTTGTTGTTGTTCTTATAAGAATGAATACAATGAAAAACACGAGCAACCGCTAACTGCTTCAACCGGTGGTCCCACAAGAACTGGCGTGACATGAAATGGTGCCACTCTGCTCTTGTTTATGAATTTGGAACAAAGTAGAAACTGAAACGTTAAAAAGCAAAGCAATGAAAAAAATTATTTATTTTTTTTTTGTACTTATGGAGACAACAAAAACAATGTTGGAGCTTATTTACGTTCTGTTTTGGCAAATCAGCTAGCAACGTGGAGCAACTCAACTTTAAAGTTATAATTCGTTTGATACGTTAATAAATAAAAAAAAAACATAACATGAAGTTGATTAAGTTTATAGACTTTTGATCATAATTGCATTAATAAGTTGGGATGGTAATAAAATACAAAAACTTAATTAAATAATATTTCATCCATAAGGACACTCAGCCGTAAAAGTATGACACTCACTCCCTACAAGCCCAACCTAATATACACAAACATACATACACATATATATCTGTGTTTTGCAAATAGTACTTTTAGAGCTTCGCAATTAAACATGTATAAACCAAGTGCATATATGTATGTATGTATGGCTTCGTTAAATATTCCTTTAGAACTTTGCAATGAAATCATTTTCTAATATTGAATAAAATAAAATACATTTCTAAAGCAAATTCATATACTGTGCTGAAAGTCCCTTCAGAACTTGTCAAGGAAGACATTTTCTAAAATTTAACAAAAATGTTTATAAAAGATTTTTTATTATTTTTTTATATATTTTATTTCCAGCTACAGAACCCCTTTTTTTAAAATATTGTATATTCTATAAAAAATCATTATTAACATAACCAGATCGAGAAACAAATTCAAAATGGAGATTCATACATATATGTAAGTATATATACTTTGCTAAAAATTCCTTTAGAACTTCTCAATAAAGTCATTTTCTATTATTGATAAGGATATAAGGATAAGGATATAGTATAAGGATAAAAGATATAATATTTATTGCTAATAAAAATACACTTTGTTGTTAATTTATTTAAAATATTTATCTAAATGAGAAAATCGAATTAAAAACTTAATAAGATAAAAAGTTTAATCAAAATTTTATATAAGTATAAGAACTAACAACTTTTAATGCATGTAGATTTATACATATATACAGACTCATATACAGATATTTGTGTACACGTATGTATGTTAATAAGTACAATATTTATTATCTGAGATTTTTAGAAAAACTTTAAATAACAACATAAACATCTATTCTCTTCAATCTTCTATATTTTTTTTTTCACACTAACTTACATTCTTACTTAAAAAGCAAACAATTGTTTTTTACCTCATAATAAATATTTATCAGTTTTAAATGGAAAAAAAAACTTTCCTAAACCCATAACAAAACAATATATTAAATAATCATAATTTATTACATTTGATAAATGAACATCCATTTCTCCGTAGCAACGTATGAATGAATCGAAACAAGATCTTTTAAAAGCTTAGAAAGCTTTGAAAATGAAACGATGGAAAATGAAACAAACTTTTGCTTTTATTGCTTCTTGCTGCGCAATGAACACGCACATTTGTTTTGATAAATTTTCATTGCCAGTGCCAAGCACACGTGCGATACAACGCAGCTGAGAATAACTTTCTTAATTTATTTATGTTAATATATACATACATAGGTATGTATGTATATATAAATTCACATAAAAAGCACTCATATATAAGAGCGTATACAAAAAGGGGCTTTCTTATTACTAATTTAAAGCTCATATGAAAACATTTATTAAAAAACAAAAATAAATAAATTATATTAAGTGTAAAATGGTTTAAAATATTTTAGAGGAAGTTTCAAATCCTAAAAATATCCCGTTTTATTTACCACTGCTCATCTAATTCTAAGCTTATTTCAAGAATTTCTCCATAACGAATAATATACACATGTGAAAAAAACATAAAATATTAGATAAAATATAGCCAAGTAAAAATTTCACTTAAATTTTAAATTGTTAGCATATAAGCTTTTCTTTAAGCTTTTATCGTGCATTAGATAAATTGATCTTTCGATTACTTATCGAAACCTGTGACACTCTCCTACTTTTTCACTAATATATACAAATTTTTGTTTGCACACAATAATAATAAAACGCATTTTCATTTGAACATTAATTTAATTTAATTTTTCTTATATGATACTGTCATTTGATAAAAATAATTTAAATCAATTGGTGAAGTTTGACTTTCGCTCAGAATAAACTTTTAAACCTATCCATTTCACATGCTATTATTATATAAGTTATTAATATATATTACAGATGTTTCTACTAAACCATCTTTGGCATTTAAATCTTCCAGCAGAAAGTTTTTGGATATGTTGGACACAGACGCATACCCAGAAATATTAAGAATTTTAATTAATTTTAGCAAAGTTTTGTAGTTCATTCTTCTGCAGATATAATAATGTCACTTTAATGGTTAAACCTCTCTTTGCAATGAGTAATGCATTCTTAAAGAATGTTCTCTAAGCTTTCAATGTCCATTTTACCAACACTGAAAGACAACAGTGTCTGAAAAAACCCAACTCCTTTAAATCGGACCTCCACTTGCAGCGATCTATAAAACAACCAAATGGAATCCTTATGTCCACACTAATCGTATACATTAATGATATGATATATCGAATAAGCCATTTCATCAATCAATTATGTTACATCCAAATATTATTTAATAGTTTAATTTTCAAACATTTTAAAATTTAAAAAAAAAACATTAAATTTAGGCTTTGTCATCAAACAATTGTCTATGTGTTAATAAATATTATCGAAAAACATAATTTTTCAAAAATGTTTAAACCTTTAAAATAATTATTGCCATTAATATAGAAACGTCTAGTTATAATTATTATTATTTTCAAAAATAGTTAAAAGGTATTATTTCCACTAGAAAAACACCTAAGCATTAGTAACATTTATAATTATTATAATTTTCAAAAAATATGCGTACAATACAAATGTAATGAACTCAAGAAAAAAATCTCTGGCTAAATAAATATTTGTAATTATTGCAATTTGAAAAAAATGCAAATGTAAAAAATTTATTTGCAGAAAGAAAAAGTCCAACCGTTAATAAATATTTAAAATTATTATAATTTTAAAAATACAACATTAATATTTATATTTTTATTATTATTTAATATTAGCTATTAAATAGAAAAATTATTAAAACAATAGTTTATACTATGAAATATAGTTCTTTATTATTGAATATTAATTATTAAATATTAAAATTATTAAAACAACCGTTTTTATTAAGAAACGTGGTTTCTTTCGTCATATTTGACTTTAAAAATCAAATATATTATAATTTTCAAATAATATTCAAACGCAGTCATTGCCAGTAGAAAAAAGTGTGGCCGTTAATAAGTATTTATAATTATTAGCATTTTCAAATAATATTCAAACGCAAAAAAAGTCATTGCCAGTGGAAAAAAAGTAGGAATTTCACTAAAGTTATAAAACATTAATTGAACCGGCAAAATATCCCAAAATACACCTGCAAATTTAAATATTGATTTTTCCTAAGCAAACCAAAAGTCAAACAGTTTGTCAAACATTGCTGGCAATGAAAAGGGAATTGACGGGTACACACAAAATTAACTCAATCACTTAAAGAAAATGCAGTGAAAATAAGAAATTAAAAAACAATTAAATAAAAGAAAGTTTAATATAAAACAGTTTAAATCGAGTAATTAATGGCACAAATGAAATAACACAAAATTAATTGTTTATTGCTCAAAAAGGATAAAAACGTATTGTTTTGAAGTACTAGAAAATTACAAAAAATATTAAAAAATTTTATTTAAAAATGCAAAACTTAATTTAAAATAAATGTAAATGTATAGTATATATTGTAATGGCTGTTTTTTAATATAATTTGAAACAAAAACTAGTTATGTGTTTACAGAAATTAAAGTGAAGTTAAGTAAGTTATTTTTTACAAATACCACCACCCCTCTTGAGTGAAATTTATGGCCTATTACGCATTTTTCGGGACAATGTCAGATATTGTAGAATTGATACTTGTACATATATAATATGTATGCAATAATTTCAATTTAAATATACCATATATGTGTATAATGAAAACGTTAATTTTGCGTAAATCTTGTGTTTGTGATAATAATTAAGCTTTGTTGAATCAATATATTTATTAATAGTGATATGGTATCGAAGTAAGTTTATGTGCAAACTATATATATTTACATACGCAGCACTTAGTAATTAAGCTTCAAACTAGAGTTATATATAATTTTACATATAAAATGTATAAAACCATAAGACACGGTGAAAATAGTCTGCAATATACAATTTTGCCGCAAAATGATGATTTTCGAATTGAGGGTAAATTATCCAGTGCTGGCAGTAGTTGCAGTTCCAGTAATAACGGTACTAAAAAATCTAAAGGCAAGCGGCCAAAGCGACGTTCGTTCTTTGCCTATTTAGGTTTGATATTCGTATGTACAGTGATTGTGGGAGCAGTACTTATACCCTTTCTAGTCTCTACAGAATGTTTACCAAGTCCAACTGAATGGTTTTTAAAAACTAAAGCGGCTATTATTAAAAATGTTAATGGCATCGGTAATGGCAGTAGAAATTATAACACAGCCAAAACAAATAAAATAAATACAAATGCTAATGCTGATGTTGATGCTGATGCTGATGCTAATAATATTAATATGAGAAATGGCATAAGTTTGGGCAAACCAGTTGAAATTGTCAATAAGGACGGTGTAGAACGTATTATACTTAAAGTGAATAAAACGCGACATAATGAACAGCGGCTCAACAGCAGTGCAAGCAATAATTACACTATGCCTACTCTTGCAACACTGGATCAAGCGATGAGTAATACAGTTTTAACTGTCATAAATGATAATGTCAAAGATACTTTAACTGGCAGCGCTACAGTATCAAGCATCAGTAACAATGGCGAAGCAGCTCGTGCAGGATCCCAAAACGGAATTATTGCAACTAATGACAATGTACAATATGCTGAAGCATATAATAGCTCAGCAAAATCAAACGGCCGAAATGATGCAGCTCAAAGCTTTGGCAGCAGCATTGGCAGCAGCCAAAAAACATCAGTGAAACAAAATTATGTCACTGAGCTCCGTTTCGATGCAGTACCTGCTGACGAACGTGAGAAGGCGCCCAGCCCAACTAAAATAGTAATTACAACTATAAAGGATGAGAACACGAATACCAACAACAACCAACACAACGATGAAGTGAACAATAAGAACGAACCGTTGCCTGTCCAAAATACTTTTAATATACGCATACGTCCAACTTTAGCAATATCAACTTCAAGCATTAATTTACCACCGCGAGCCTCTATCAACTCTAATCAAAATAATCAGTACAACAATTCAAATAGCATACCAACTATCACCACACGTATCATCCAGGTGCCATTACTCAAATCAGCCGCAAAGAAACCCATAATACCGCCCGTCTTGGTTAAAACAAATTCACAATTAATCCTGAACAACAACAAGAATCTACCAACAAACAACAGGAATCTACCAACCGATGAGAATAACAACTTAGTTGATCCACCGAATAGCAAACATTCACAGAACTCTGATTGGATTGGTTCGCATTGGCCATTCGTTGATCCATCTACATATATTCAATGGGCTGTAGGTGTTCATACATATATCTATATATCTCTATATATTCATATATCAAATAAATAAATGTTGTAATTACTTATATATACGTTTTTTGTTCTTTATTATTTTATTCTCTAACAAACTGGCCACTATCGAAAGGGTTACAAGGCCGAGGATAGCGTTTTACTACCAGCTCTCCTTGGTTTTGCTCTAATTGGCGTGATTCTAATAATTGCCGTGTGTTTAGTGGCACGCAATAAGCGCACAATAGTCTCCTCGGTACGCAAACGTAATCGCAATGTAAGTATATATTCTTATTATTTTTTTTTCTTCAAATTCCTTATATAAACAAATAGTCTATGTATATGAAATACACAACCTCACATATATATATGTATATATACATATGTATGTATGTGTACAGTTAGAGACAAAGATTTCGGATATTGCTGAGCTTGCAAAATTTTTCCACTTATTTTCGCAGTTGAGGTTCAGTTTATATTCCTATGTGATGACAAATTTATCTCATGATTTTTATTGATTGATTGTATTGGTAATATTTGACTCTATGGGTGCAAAGAAATATAAAATTGAAGAAAACATTTTTTTTTGACTATATTAACAACGTTGCAAAGTTTCTTATAACTTTCAAATAAGGTTATAGATAAATTATTGATAAATAATACACAAATAATAGATAAATCATAGATATCAATAAAAACGTCATTAGTCCTTAATTAAGACCATATTCGCATGGTTTTTTTAAAGAGTATCAACCATATTCACAACTTTGACAAGTTTCGTATAACTTTCAAGTTAAATAATAGATGAATTAATATATAAAAATAAAATCCATTAATTCCTAATACAAAGCATAAGCCCATGGATACTTTAAAGAGTCTTATAACTTCCCAGTTAGTTAATACATAAATTTGTATATCAATAAAAACTTCATCAGTCCCTTATTCTGATGTTAAGTTATGGATTTTTATAAATTTATATATAATACCACAGAATTTCTTTATAACAATCTATCAAGAGCTTTCAAGGTCTTAAATAGATAGAAACACATCATTAAACAATCAACTAATCTCACACATAATATTGAAGACATACTTCCATAATTTTAATTCTACCTATTGATATTTAGCTATAAAAGCTAGGTTTGCGGTATTTTAAGCTTGTTGCGTTTCGCTAAGATCTGTGGAACCTTATATTCAACTACAACAACCGCAAAAAAAATCCGGAAATCGTATGACATGATTATGACTATGATTATCATTTATAGTCTTTCGAAATACAATATATTTTCAATAAAATTGACACATAGAGTATGCTAGGTCTACAGCTATGCCATATTTTGTTTCATTTAACAATTAATCTAATAGATTTTTTTCAACTAAATTTTTGTTATGAATTTTGAATAAGTTTTCGGATATATCCTTTTTCATGCCATGTATAGGTGTCACATTGTTTCACGTTCGTTTTATTAACATCTAAATCATTCATGTATAATAAATAATGTGGGGAATATTCTCTATAAATGGATTGCAATGTATGTTCTAGTTTTCTGGATTGCCTTATCTACTTTGAAAACTACTATAGTTATTATTCAACTTATTTGTAAACATAATTTTACAATTTCCACATCCCACAAAAAAATGTTAAATATCAATTTCCTTCGGTGCTTCTCTGGTTTTTTGACAGAGAAATAATTTTTAAGCTTAGTCAACTTTGATTGATTTACCAAAGATTCTCTAGCATTGGCTTGATTTATCGTATAAAAGCAAAATAGAATATATCCACTCTGGACACTTTTAAATCAAGTGCATATTTGAAATATATTATTTCGGATGCTCTTATGTTAGGTATCTATTTGAAATATTTCTTTTCAATTGTGGTTTCTATTACTTTCAAATCTAAAACCCGTATAATATTATTTTTAATATATATGGAAACTATAGTTAAAGAATCTTTATGCCCCACGCATAATTAAACAATAGGATCTGGCTTTAATAGATGATGACTATCACTGTAGTTCAATGGTTCCACGAAAGAACAGATCTACCTCGCGTAACGACCAATTTCAGCAAACAAGTGCCGTTTCCCATTCCCAAAAATAGATCTCCGCTGGTTACAACAAAAACAATTACTATACCACAATTATGTTACATTAACAATCCTGTCTAAATTTTTTAAATACATTTGCTCAACCACATTATTGGCACTTATGCCTACTGCACCCAGCAATACTATCTACTTTTTTGTTCTTAGCATTATTCTATTATTCATCTGAACGCCTGCGTGACATAACCCTTATGATCCTACATCACATGTCACTTCTAATTGTATTTTTTCAAGTTCTTGGCATTTATTGGGGTAAAGGAAGCTATTGGGTTAAAGGAGATGAAGATCCTTTATCTACAAAATTTGCCTTATTGCATGATCCTCTGATTTTCTCATTATATATATTTAAAGAATTAAAATATTTTATTATTCCAAACATATCATTATATAAAAAATAATTTTAATTAATCATTAAATGGACTTTAAAAAACATAAATTTTTATTTGAAATGTTAATTGATATCTGTTTGTCATCACATATTTTCTTTGTTAAAACAAAAACCATATAAAATCTGTTCCTTCTATTTACACAGATTTTTTATTTATATCACAAGTTATCAATTCCAGTGAACTTCTGTTTTGTGCAATACATTTGAATTGACTCAGTTTCTTAGAGTTTGCAATAAAATCAGACTGACGCAGAGTACCATAGATCATATCATATTTCATATAAACACTATATAAAACCATAAGTTTTGAAATTGTAAGCAATTGTACTTGAAAAACAGATACAAACAATTACAGTGAAAACTCTGATACACAGACAGAGACACTCTTATATATGTATATCTCTTTTAACCGTCTCGTATTGCTCGTTCAGAGTAGTCATTTTTAATAAAAAGTAGGTTCTATTTCAATATATCTATATATATGTTTTAGAACACTAAACAATTGTATTTGCAACACAGATATAAACAATTACAGTTAAAACTCTGTTACACAAAAACTCTTATATATGTATATCTCTCGTTTTTACATATTCAGAGCAGTCATTTTTAATAGAAAGTAAATATTCTATCTCTGGATAGATTGCTCAATATAACTATATGTTTTAGAATTTTAACAATTATGCTTAAAAATTAAATACAAACAATTACAGTGAAACCTCTGATACACAGACTCTCTTATATATGCACCTTTCTTTTAACCGTCTGATATTGTTTCTTAAGAGCAGTCATTTTTAATAGAAAGTATATTCTATCTCTGGATAGAATACTCAATATAACTACATGTTTTAGAATTTTAACAATTATGCTTAAAAATTAAATACAAACAATTACAGTGAAACCTCTTATACTTTTAATAGAAAGTACATTCTATCTCTAGACAGAAAGGGGTGCACAATAAATCAAGCTGGTCGCAGTGCATAGAGGTCTTAACTTAACCCAAACCCCCCCAAACCATACCATACCATACTATTTCTAGACAGAATGTTAGTCACAATAGTCACGTTATAAAGGTCCAATTAAAAACAACTACAATTATAATATATATAGAAATAATATATAATATTAAAATTGCATATAGTTATACCATATACACTAATAACTTATTTATTTATACAATTATATCATATATACTAATAAAGTTCTTTTTTTTTGGCTATATAGGACATTGAAGAAACTGGAGCTGAGGACAACAAAACTCTTCTAACAACTGCAAATCTTTCCGATGAAGATTAAGCAAATATTTTAAATAAATTATGAAAACTTTATTATTATTTATTTTGAAAACTCTATATACTCAGTATTAATATATATTTTTTATTATCCTATATATTTAGGATGCAACAAGGATTTATTTTTATAATAATTCAGGCAACATGACAACACCCAAAAAAAAAAAACAGTTCTACCAGCGCAACAGTTTACATTACACAAAAAAAAAAAAATTTTTTTAATTAACAAAACACAAAATTAACTAATTAATTAATTAAGAAAATCAAGAAAAATAATTCAAATACTTTTTTGAAAAAAAAAATATATTAAGCAAGAGTATTTATTTGAAGCATATGCTGTGTATCTAAGTATTATACATAATTAAAATAATTTTAAATTAAAAGCTACAACAAAAAAATGTTATGTTTAAATGCGAACAAAAAAGCCTAAAAGACTGTTTCTTGAAAATTTTTTAACAAAAATATTAAAAATTCATAATTATGAAATTATTTTCTGTTCTAGATTTGTAGTCCTTAATGCTTATAAGCTAAAGCAAAAACAACATTGTATTTTATATAGTATTATTACTATTAGTATTTGTGTATGTATTTATAATTAATATTAACAGATTAATGTATATTCAGTTGTATTAGGAAATTGGCATAAGTTAGCAATTAACAAAAAAAGCAATCAAGAAACATTTCTTGAATTTTCTTTTTATATAAAACTAATATAATTAATATATATTTTATAATTATAAGTTTTATAACTAAGCTTATGGTTAAGCGAAAGTATATAAAACAAAATATGCTTACAATCAGTTGTAAACTTAAACCCACATCATATATTATATATGTTTTTATATATTATTAAGTATAAAATTAAAATTAAAATTAATGTTTTAGAAAATTAGTCTAAGTAGTTCAAGAACATTCGTTATGCCTTGTAAAATGCTTGTGCCATGTATTGTATTATCAATCTTTGTTAATATAAATTAATATAAAATTTGTATCTAGCATTATAGATAGTATAACAGTTCGAACCTTGTTATCAAACGAAACTACATCCATACTGTGCTAAATGACATAGATACATCCTAGAAAAAATGGCTGTAAACGAAAAGCAATTTAACAAATTAAATTTTTAATACGAAATATAGTACTGTCGTATAACAAAAGACACTAAAAAATGAAGTTCTATCTTATAACAGAATAAACTACAAAATGTAGAAGTGTCATATAACAGAAGAAACTACAAAATATAGATATATGGTATAACAGAAGAAACTACAAAATGTAGAAGTGTCATATCACAGTAGACACCACAAAATGTAGTAGTGACGTATAACAGAAGTGATTACAAAATGTAGTAATGTGGTATAACAGAAGACACTACAAAACGTACTAGTGTTGTATAACAGAAATCACTACAAAATGTAATAGTGTCGTATAACAGAAGACACTAAAAAATTTAGTTTTGTTGTGTAACAGAAGATAGTACAAAATATTGTACTATCGTATAACAGAAGACACTAAAATATGTAGTAGTGTGATATAACAGAAGACACCAAAAATATAGTACTTTCGTATAATAAAAGACTCTAAAAACGTAATACTGTCATGAAATAGAAGACATTACAAAATCTAGTATAACATATAACAGAGGACACTAAAAAATGTAGTAGTTTCGTATAGCAGAAGACACTAAAAAATGTAGTATTGTCGTATAACAGAAGACACTACTATATTTTGTATCAAACAATTGTTTTGTTAGGAAGCTTTTCGTTTTAAGGTCAATTTTTCAAGGATATATCTATGCCGTGTTGTTTAACTAAAGACACTATTACATTTTGTTTCAATTTATAGATGATCACTAACCAAAGATCATATAACAAAATCTCATTTTTGACCGTATATTGTTAATTAAACGATATATCGTCATAATAAAAGAGCAATATTGTACTGAAATGCTGAATAACGAACGTTTGTGGACTTTATATTGAAAAAATTTCATAGTTAAAAAAATCTGTTATAACAAAATGCAGTGTAACCAAAAATTTTGAACCATATGTCGAAATAAGTCTCACAATTTAAAAAGCTCTTATAACAAAGTATCACATAACGAAACATTTTGGGTCGTATAACAAAAGACTCTAACAATGGAAAAAGCTGTTATAACAAAATTGCATATAAAGACCTTTCATAAAATGATCTATTGATGTGCTTGATAGAGATTAAAATGAATATATTGCAGTCTCACTATTTAGAAAAAACTGTTATAACAAAGGACTGTATAACGAAACATTTGGAAACGTGTATCGGCTGTTATAATAAAAGGATATATTAAAATATTATAAGTTGACTATCGAAAGAGTTTCACCAAGGTCATAATGAAAAGCTGTATAACGAAATATTTTGGGCCATATATCAAAAAAGTGTCACAAAAATAGCTGTCATAATGAAGGACTGTATAACAAAACATTTTGATCTGCACACCGATTAAGTATTACAATTATAAAGAGCTGTTATAATGAAATTCTGTATAAAGAGCAGTCATATAGCGAAGTGTCGGTGTACTGGAGAGATATTAAAATATATATGTGGCACTTTACAATTTTATATTTAATAATTCGGACATTGGTGGACTAAAGACCATAATATTCCTCAATGTTATGTCATTAGACGATATAATATGGTTTTTAATATATATAAATAGCTTTTTTTAAATATCATTATTATAGCTAATGCATTTACCGAACACATAAATATGTGGCACACAGGCTCTCTGCAAGGTACTTAAAATGTTCTGAACCTATTTAGTTAAAAGAAGAATAACAGTGGTTAATTAAATTTTGTTCCCTCCCTTTATAAAATTTTTTTCATATAATTGACTCTGTTAACGATATTAATATTAAACTTTGTGTTGGAAGGGATTTTTAATTATTTTGCTTTTTTTAAGTGAAAAATTCTTTTAAAATTTATAGAGATGGTGATATCTTATTTATTATGTTGATGTTGAAGCTGTTTTGAGCTAGTGCACTTAAGCACTTATACTCTTTTTTAACTCGAGGTTTCTTCAAAACCCCTCTCTACACCTTGACTAGATTACTGTTTATCACTTCATCAGACTAAGCAATAATTGACCTCAAATCTGCATACCTCCCCGAGGAGCCTGAAACCATTCTGAGATTTGATAACGCGGTGTTGGTAAGTCTGTCAGTTTTCGCAAATAATTTCAGGGCTCTATTCTTTATGTATTTTTTGATGGGATTAATCTTGATGTCCCTGAGGATGTCATTCGTCCTCATTAAAATTTTATTATTAATATTCTCAATGTATAAAGTCTATTGCACACTCTTCATATATTCAGAGTGTTTTTTTAACTTTAATTCACAAATATTATTTATTAATATATAATATTAATAAATATTATTTCCAAATGCAATTAATTGCAGAATTAAGTTCACTTTACTGACTGATTAATTTATCCAAAATTAAATGTGAACCCAAATATTTATTTTGTTTTTGTATTACAGTGTAGAGCCTATTTCTACAACAGGTATTTCACAGTACCATGATCTCCCCTGACTGTAAGCCCACAAATTCCATTAGTGTAAATTCTCTGTTCTGTTAGGTGATAATCTACATATCCCATTAACGTTTTAATAATAATTTTTTAATTATATTTATTTATTATTTAATCTTACTTAAGTCTTCTTTAAGCTAACTTGGTCGTTTTGTTTGGATACGTATGAATCTCAATATATATTTATTTTCATGTAATCTTTAAAACAATTTAGGTTCAAGAAATCTGTAAGCAGTTTTCCTTATGGTATCCATTTCAGACTGTCTCAGTGTAATCTTCTCTTCCTTAATGAACGAGAAGAAGTTTCCTAAACCAGAAAAACATTTCAAACCTACAAGCAGGTAGGTTAAGCAGGTAGATTGCTCTTTTCCTGGTTAATTTGTCTTCCATTTCAAAATTTTAATGTATCGTTATTTAAAAAAAAAATATTCTAAAAAAATTCTATATTTTAGAATAGAATTAGAAATATTCTAATTCTAATTCTTTTCTTAATTCTTCTTTCTTAACTATTATTACAATGTAAATTAGTTCAATATCATCTTCATATTTAAATAAGTGTCAATATCTTTATTAATAATCCTTCATATATTTTAATTCCTGATTAATTAATACTCAGGTATAATATTGATAACTGCTTAACGAATAATATTCTGTTCTTCATTCTAAAATGTCGAGTGTCTTTTGCTCGGTTAGAACTAGTAGTAGTTTAAAGGACCTTCCATGTTATCACAAGGGGTCATTATTTTAGCTTAAGCGGGCTTTAGTATACAAGGCAACCACTTCAACATAACCTAACCTAATAAAAAAGCTTCTATGGTTGCACTGTAATCCGTTGTATTTGTTGTTCCCTGTCTATCCTATATTAATTAAATTTCTATTCTTATTAGGATTTCTATATATTTTATATTGATATATATATTTTATTGCTAAAAAATAAATTAAATTATAATTGTCCAAATGTTTTCTGATCCCTAATTTCTTAACCACTGTTATTCAATATTTATTTATATATAATTACAATTAATTAGCTCCTAATAAATGACACAAGATTAGTCTGCAAGCAATTGTATCGTATATCTTAAAATCAACTATGTTTAAAAAAAAATCATATTTTACACTAAGAAATTTATAAAGAAAAACACACGCTTAGTACACCGAACTTGTAAAAAAATAGATCGATCAAAATGTAACAAAATCATATAATGTATTGTAAAAAATATGCAGAGAAATCAATATTTTTGTAAGAGTGTGATAGTAAAAGTAGTTAGCGGTTAGCATTTTTTTTTCTGAAAATAAAATGTAGTTCAAACTTTTTAGTTTTTAGTTTCTAAATTAGTTTCTAATTTTGTAGAGAATTTTCTAGACAACTATCATTTAACCCTAGTTACTATACGAGTTGATTTGCTATTCGGAATTTTATCAATATAAACCATTTATTATTTTTATATACATTCAATGATATTGTGTATTAAAACCGATTTATATATATATATATATATATATATATATATATATATATATTATCTAAGATTAAGTCAATCTAAGATTTAGTAGAGCTTCTAACATTTTGAAGTT